CCTGGGGTGAGCCTGAGGTGCTGCAGCAGGCTCAGGGTGTCCTTCTGGCAAGGGAGGGAGCACCCTGCTCATCTCAGTGGGCAGAGGGATGGCAGGAGGGCAGCAGGGTGGCAAACCCTTGCTCTGCTGGCCTGGCTGTGCTCCCCAGAGCAGAGTTTTCAGAGTGTTGGGGAGCAGCACAACAGCCACCAACACTGGGCACACACCCAGAGAAACAAGCATCCAACAGAAAGAATACACAGAGGAAGTATGAAGTCTCTAGAGAGAATAAAGCTGAGATCTCCTGCTGAGCTCAGCACCTGACTGATGGGGTGTGCTCCCCTCCCCACCTACAGCTGAGCAGCCTGTTAGAGGCTGGCACTGATCCCACCCTTAGAGTGGAGACAACCAGGCAGCTGCAGTTCAAACCAGCCACTGCTCTGTGCTGGTGCTCCCCAGAGAAGCAGTTGTGTCACAGGGTGCACACTCACCTTTGCAAGTACTTGCAGAAACACTGCAGCTCCTGAAGGGTTTCCTTGGCAATCTGGAAAATCTCATCCTCCAGGAAGAGGTCCATGACCTGGCCACAGGCTTCTTCTGAGCACCTGGCAATGCGAGCCTGCTGGTCTCTTTCTACAGCACACCTGGATCCAAAGGGGACAAACCCTTCAGGCTGGATGGGAGGAAGAAGTTCTTCCCCAGGAGAGTGGTGAGACCCTGGCATGGGTTGCCCAGGGAGGTGGTTGAGGCCCCATCCCTGGGGGTCTTTAAGGTCAGGCTGGAGGAGGCTCTGGGCAGCCTGATCTAGTGGGAGGTGTCCCTGCTCATGGCAGAGGGGTTGGAACTGGGGGATCCTTGTGGTCCCTTCCAACCCTGATCTGTTTTAGCAGAGGACTTGAGAGCCCTCATGGCTCAATGGTTGGACTTGGATGATCTTGAAGCTCCCTTCCAACCTAAAGGATTCTATGAAACCAAGACCTGCAGTGATTTGGAGGCTGCAGCAAACACCAGCACAACAGGCTGAGGTGCACACAGGGAAGACATTTAGCCAAGAGGAGGGATTTTCCACACTTCCACTCTATGGCTCTTCTCAAAAAGGCCTGTAATCAATTAGAAGTCATTCCAGGCAGGCTTGTCCCAGACACAGCCACTAATCCCCCCACCTTGGAGGACTCCTCCTGCCTGACACAGAGTGCCTGCACCACCAGCTGCAGAGACCCTTCATCTACTGAAGATGACCTCAGAGAAGACCAAGCAAGAAGCCCACAGCTCCCTGACAAAGCCTGGCCCTGAGGACAGCCCCCTGTGGCACAGCAGAGCATCCAGTACGTACTTGAGCTCACTGGCTGAAGCTTCTTGGACGCTCTCCTTTATCACTTCTTCCACCAACTCCATACCCACCAGCTGGCTCAGCTGCTTTATTAACTGCTCTCTTTCCTGTTTTTGCCTGGAAGGACAGAGAAAAGATGGACACGAGTGAGAAGATTGACACTGGCAAACCTGCTGCAGAGCTATGCAAGTGCCACACAGTGTCAGACAATCCATTCGCCCAAAATGGAGCTCCTGCTGGCTGGTTCCTCTCTGAAGAGGAGGAGTGCTGCACAGAGCCAGGATCCCCTCCAAAATACAGCTAACAACAGGGTTTAGTCTTCCATCAGTGAGGTACAGACAAGTAGCCCCCTCTGAAGGAGAAGCTCCTGCCTGCAGCAGGGTCTCAGGATGCATCTTGCTGCCTGGAAGCTGCGGGTGAATAAAAGTTCCCCAAATCTACACCACTTCCAGAGCAGCTCTGTGAGGCCACCAAAACACGACCCAGCAGCCTGCTGGAGAATGCAGAAGGGACACAGGGCCTGAGCACCTTTGCCTGAGGGTGAGCAGAGCCCCCCCCTGCCCACAGCCAGGCCTCACCTCTCCTCCTCCACCCTGCGCCTCTCCTCCCTGAGGCGCTCCCGCTCCGCGCTGAGCACGCTCCCAGCTGCTTCTCTGAGGATCTCCCCTGTCACCTCAGCCACCAGCTCCTCCACGGCAGCCTCCGAGGTGCTGTGGAGAAACAGGTTTCAAAAAAAACAAACTCATTTTAAGCCCAGGAGTTTCCATTCAAAGCCCCACGTCTGTGGTTTTTCTCCAGCACAGCGCTGCTCCGCTGCGGTGAGCTGCCTGCAGCCAGGCACCCACACTGCTACCAGCTCCCTCCCCTGCCCTCCCTGGGATGGGAGAAAAGAGGAAGCACAAAAGGAAGAAAACTGGTGGAGATAAAGAGGTGAAGGGCAAACACCCCCTCTCTCACAGGCACAGCAGTGCCCATGGCCACCCTGGCAGCCAGAAAGCTCCACCTTCTTCTTCCTCCAGCCCAATTTAGTGCTGACCAGATGGTATGGACTCTGGTGTGGGTCAGCTGTCCTGCCTGTGTCCCCTCCCAGCCTCTCACACCCCCACAAGCTGCTCAGGGTGCAGAGTGAGGAACAAGGAAGGCCTTGGCCCTGTGCTGGCCAGCAATGACCAAAACATTGCTGCATTAATAACACAGCTCTGGCCACAAACCCACATCTGTGACTAACAACTGCCTTGGAGAGGAAGTGTTATTTGAAGCAGAGTGGTCAGATCCAGAAGACTTGAGTCCAAAAAAGAGCACCCAAGCTGGTGAAGGGCCTAGAGAAGAAATCTTAGGAGTGGCTGAGGGAACAGCACTTATCTAGTCTGCAGAAAGGGAGGCTGAGGGGTGACCTCTTCTCCCAGCTGAGGAGCTGGTGTCTTCTCCCAAGTAACTAGTGATGGAACAAGAGCCTCAAGCTGCACCAGGGGAGGTTTAGATTGGACATTAGGAAGAATTTTTTCCCTGAAAGGGTTGTCAAGCATTGGAAGAGGCTGCCTGGGGAGCTGGCTGAGTCCCCATCCCTGGATGGGTTTAAAAGCCATGCAGATGTGGTGCTTGGGGATGTGACCTTGGCAGAGTAGGGTTCATGGTCAACCATCCTAGAGCTTTTTTCCCACCCAAGTGATTCTATGATCCAAACATCCTCTTGTGCTGCTTCAGGCACCTTTCCCCTCCCCCAACACACATTTCTTGTGGCAGTGGTGTGAGTGCCACACAAGGCAAGGTTTGCAGAGGTCTGCCCTCCCCCAGGCTGGCTGGTGTGGCATGGAGGGGGCAGGGAGCTGAAGAAAGGTCTGCTTTCCCCTCAGCTCTATCAGCAAGACCATCCCCACCACAGACCTTGCCTTAGTTCTATCATCCTCACACGGGGGACCATCAGGGCAAAGGGGTGCTTTGCTGCCAGACTCCAGGGGTGCCAGCAGTGCCCTGTTCCTCACCAGATGGCCACAGCCACGTAAGCTTCTCCTGCTCTGCTGACTTCTCTGCACTCTGCTTCCAGCACGTCGTGCACCAGCCCGTCCACCACCTCGGCGACGTCCTGCAAGGCAGCAGAGGAAGCAGCTGGAGCAGGGCCTGGGGCCAGGGAGGCTCTTCAGCCCTCTTCTGCCCACTGGAACTGCCAACAGCATCTGTTTTGATGCCTACAAAGCTAATGTAAATCAAACACAACGACCTGGAAATTTTAGGCTATCTCAAAACGTTAATAACAGCCCAGAAACAAAAGCAGCTTTCTGTGTTGAACATGGGAATCCCTCTCAGAATTCACTTTTCTGAGCTGTTATTTCCTATCTACCTACTCATGAGTTTCTCTCATTCTCACTTGGACTGAATTCCACAAGACCAGGTCTAACTCTCCCAGGAGTGTGGCCACATTTCAGCAGAATATGGCAGCTGTGCTTTACAAAGCAGTGAGAGACTCCCAGACCTTAGTACAGCTTTGACCCTCTGTGGAAGGGAGGCCAAAGGGGAGCAGCACAGATACACAGGGTTCATATTCAAGACCCACCATCAGCAGTCAGACAGCCACAAGAAAAAACTTGGTTGTGTCTCATTTGAAATAGGTGCCATTAAGAAACAGCTCAATATTATTCACTGCAGCCAAGTCCACCAAAGGCCATCAACTTCTGCTGTCCCTTTCTGACTCCCTCCTTAGAAGCTTCTCTAATAAATGTTAGACAGAACTGTTTATCCCATGAAGGAGCCAGGGCAAGCACTGACATTTCAGCCTTGCATCTAAGATGCTCTCTTTTCAGAACAGTCCAAGAAAACAACTTCTGAACCTAAAAACTCTGAAGCAGGGAGCATCTCCTCAACTCTACATACCACATGCAGATTCTGGAAACCTAGAACAGCCTAAGAATTTGGTTACCTTTTATTCTGTTTCACAGATCTTTCCCAAATACTGCATGATGGGTTTAAATTTCCTTACTGTGTCTGGGTAGAGAGGCTGAGGCTTTGAGAGTGGCTCAGGCTGCCCAGCAGGTTGGGAGGTTGCCTGTGCAGGAGGCAGGGCTGGCACAAGCTGGCGAGGCAGCAGTGAGGGGAGAAGATGAGCTGGGGGCTGGACTCTTGCTCCTGAGGCATCTAAATCCACAGCTTTGCTTTCCACTCTTCCTTCTTGGGAGAGGGGGAGAGGAAAAATGAAGGAAAACAAGTCAGGAACAAACAGAAAAACTATCCTTGTCTTCTAAAGTTGGGCTTGTCTGATAAATCTCATCAGGTCATGAAACAAGTCCACACCAGAAGCTTGCTGCCTTTAAGTTAGGAACAGAACTACCTTATAGAAATTTATATTTATGAAAAATTTCATTCCACTTTGCCTCCAATACCAACTACAAACACTTCCAGTACAACGACTGCTTTAAGTTGAGGACATCTTAACACCTACACACACCTCTTGGACTAAAAACATCCGTAGTCTTGACAGTCAGCTAAGAAAAACCACCTGGATATACACCCAGTGGGAGCAAACAGCTGCAGTACAAAAGCTGCAAACCAAGCAGAGAAGCTGGCAAATATCTGGTTAGTTCACTATGATAAAAGAGGAAAATAATATTTTATATCCTGGCAAAATTGGGCTCGTTGCTGTTAGTGCCTTTGCTGTATCGGGACGTGCATTCTATTAATCAGGGTGCTTCTTAGCTTTTACAAGTATGTAAAGACATTAAAATCAAAACCTCCAAAATTTCCACACGATTTCAACCTTTATGAGCCAAGAATGACTGCTGCCTTGTAAAACAGACCTAACTCCCAGAGCTGACCCAGCAGCACGTCCCCAGCCGGGCCCTAAACCGCACGTTCGCTCCTACCCGTCGCTTCCACGCTGGATTTTTGGCTGCTCCCAGCTTGCTCCACGGAGTTGCTTCCTCCTGTGTACTTGTTCTGCCCGTTGAAGCTGGACATGGGCACGTGGTGAGGCACCACGGGCAGGGGCCCCCCGTTGACCACCTCCCCCACGGAGACCAGCAGCTTCTGGCTGACGAAGGTGGATTTGCGCGGCTTGGG